CTCTCTGCTCCTCTGTCAGTTCCCTCGTGCTTCACTTGCACCTCCTTTCACTTTGATTCATCTCCAAACCACTGTCCTCCACACACCAGGCACTTTGTCTTGGAGAAACTGAGTGACTGGCACTCACTAATCTGCCATATTTCAGGAATTCTTCAGCTGAGTTTCTTTGTGCTGAGTTTTGTTTTCCTAGCAGCTGAGTGTGAAGTCTTGGGAGAAACTGTGGATGCTGTTCCTCATTCTCTGTGTGCTCAGAGAGTGTGGAGGAAGACCACAGAGACTCCTTCAGATCCTCAGAGAATGGTACACCAAGTAGGAAGCTTGGGTTGAGGGCCTCCTTGATCTGTCCTTAAGCAGGAGGGATGTTCCTTGGGTAAATCCTGTTTTCCTTTAAGCTTGATTGAAAACTTGCTATGATGAGCTAGTTACATAGGCTAGGTATTAATCCATTGTGTGAGGATTACCTGGCAAATTTTTCACATTCTGTAGGTTATCTCATTCACTGTCTTGGTTTCCTTTGCTGTGAAGAAGCTTTGTAATTTGATATGGTTCCATTGATTCTTCGTATTATTTCTTGTACAGTTGGTGTTCTTTTCAGAAAATCATTGCCAACTGCTATGTTTTCCCACATTTTAACTATTTTAGCTTCCATCAGATTAACAGTTTCCATTTTTATATTTGGAAAATTGTTCCATTTTTATTTTTCTTTAATTCTTGGAGTGAAATATGGGTCATTTCAATCCTTGGCAAGCAGATAATCAGATTACCAAGCACCATTTGTTACAGAGGCTATCTTTTCTCCAGCAAAAGTATTTGGTAGCCTTGCCAAAGATAAGCCAGCTCAGTTTTCAGGCAGTTGTTTCTGTACCAAATAGTCTTGTTTTGTTGTTGTTATTTCTTTGCCAAAACCATGTTTTTTATTACTGTAGCTTTATAGTATAACTTCAGATCTTGGATATTGATACCCCTTACCCCCTGCTCCTGCTGTTTCCTGGGATTGTTTTTGCTGTTCTAGGTCTTTTCTGGTGCCCTGTGAATTTCAGGATTGTTTTCTTTAGTCCTACAAGAAATGCTATTGGTATTTTGATTGGGATTGCACTGAATCTGTATAACAGTTTTGGAATTATGGCCATTTTGACTATCTTCATTCTGCCTATCCAGAAACCTGGACATCTTTCTATTCTCTGAAACCTTCTTCAATCACATTTTTAAGATTATTGTAGTTTTCATTGTAGAGGTCTTTCACTTTCTTGTTTAGCTTAGGTCCTAAGAATTTAAATTTTCTTAAAAAGTATTGTCCTTCTAATTTCTTTCTCGGTAAGTTTGTCATTGATCTATAGGAACACTATTGATTTTTGTGTGCTGACCTTGTAACCTACTACACTGCTGAATTTGTTGACTAATCCCAGGAGTCTTTTACTTACTTACTTACTTATTTATTTTTTGAGACAGGGTCTCACTATGTAGTTGAGACTGACCTGGAACTCACTATGTAATCCAGGCTGGTCTTGAACTCACAGCAATCCTCCTGGCTCAGCTCTCGAGTGCTGGGATTATAGGTGTGCACCACCACACCTGGCCCCAGGAGCCTTTTGATGGAGTTTTGGGGTTCTTCAGCTTACAGAACCATATCATTTGCAAATAATGATAATTTAAATTCTTCCCTTCCCTACACAGATCCCACTCATTTATTTTTCTTGTCTGATAATTCTGGCTAATGTTTTGAGGACTATACTGAACAGAAGTGGTGATAGTGGATGTCCTTGCCTTGTTCCTGAATTCAGGGTGATAGGTTTAAGCTTTTTCCCCTTCTCTAAGATGTTGGTCATTGGTTTGTCATAGATGACTTTTATCAGATTGAGATCAGTTGCTTCTGTGCTTATTTTCTTCAATGTTTTTATCATGAATGGATCTTGGGATTTTGTGAAATGTTTTTTCTGTGTCTGTTGATGTGATCATGAGATTTTTGTCAATGCATGTGTTTATGTGATATATTACATTTATTGATTTGCACATGTTGAAACACCCCTGTTTCCCTGGAATGAACCCTGCTTGATGGTGATGTATGATCTTTTTGATGATTACTTGCATTCTGTTTGCCAGTACCTTATTGAAGTATTTTGCACCTGTGTTCCTTAAAGAGTCTGGCTCTGGGATTTAGCCCAGTGGTTCTCCCCCTACATCGCAAGCACAAGGTCAAGAGTTCTATCCCAAGGTCCAGAGTTCAATTCCTGGTACAAAAAATAATAATAATAAAGACTTTGGCTTTTATTTTCTTCAGTTGTTCTTCTTCTGTTTTTCTTATCAGGTTAATGGTTGCTTTGAGGAATGACTTTGGGAGTACTGTTTCCCTTTCAATTTTATTAAAGATTTTGAGGAGTGATGGCATTAAATCTCTTTAAAGTTCTTCTAGAATTCAGTGGGTAATTCATCAGTACCTGGGCTTTTCTTAGTTGGTAGATTTTATTATTTTTTCAATTTCATTGGCTGATATGGTATCATTCAGAATTTTTATATGTCCATGCTTCAGCTTTAGTAGTTTATGTGTCTAGGAATTTGTACATTTCTACCCCAGTTACAAATATTTTATTCCCATTTTTTTAATTTTTTCATATTTTTTTCTTTTCCCTTATTTCCTTTCCCTACCTTTCCCACTTCCTGTATACCTTTAGCCCTTACTTCCTATTTCACATTGTCAATTATACCATTAGGATCTTATATACAATTATAGTTTTTCATACCAGAGAAACTATTCAGTATTTACACATGTGTGACTTATTTATTTCACTTAAGAATATACCCCCAAGATCAGTGGAACAAACTGGAAGATACAAAAACAACTCCAGATGTACTCAGCTACCTCATCTTTGACAAAGGAGCCAACCATCATCAGTGGAGGAAAGATAGTCTCTTTAATAAATAGTGCTGGAAAAACTGGATTTCAACATGCCAAAGATTAAAACTTAGACCCATATCTTTCATCATGCACTAAATTAAAATCTAAGTAGATTAAAGATCAAAATATTAAAAAATAAACACTGAACTTGCTGGAAGATAAGTTAGGCAGAATTCTTGAAGACATTGGCATAGGAAAAGACTTTATGAACAAATCCTCAGTAGCATGGGAGCTAGCAGGAAGAATCAACAACTGGGATCTCATCTTATTAAAAAGCTTCTGCACTGCAAAAGAAACCATCAACAGAACTAAGAGACAACCTACAATGTGGGAAAAAATTTTTACCAGCTGCTCCTCACACAAAGGACTACTATCTAGAATATATAAAGAACTCAAAACAAGCGGACCACCCCAAATATGAAAACCTGATTCAAAAATGGGCATCTGAAATGAGCAGACATTCTCAGACAAAGAAGTAAAAGCAGCTAGCAAATATGTGAAAAAATGTTCCACATCACTGGTCATTCGAGAGATGCAGATGAAAGCAACACTGAAATTCCACCTCACCCCACAAAGAATGGCTGCTATCAAGAAATGAAACAATAACAAATGTTGGCGGGGTTATCGGGAGAAAGGAACCCTTCTCCATTGTTGGTGGGAGAGCAGACTGGTGCAACCACTATGGAAATCAATATGGAGATACCTCAAAGAGCTGGGACTAGAGGTTCCATTTGACCTAGCCATCCCCCTGCTGGGTATCTTTCCAAAAGAATTAAAAGAATCATATCACAGTGATATATGTGCATCTATGTTTATAGCGGCACAGTTTGTAATAGCTAAAACTTGGAAACAGCCCATTTGCCCATCAGTTGGAAACTGGATAAAGAAGATGAGGTTTTTCTATAAAATGGAATACTACTCAGCCATGAAAAATGAGAAATTAGAGTCATCATAGGAAAATGGATACATATTGAGGATATACTCCTAAGTGAAATAAATAAGTCACACATATATAAATACCAAATAGTTTCTCTGGTATGAATAAACTATTATAGTACATAAGATCCTAATGAGATAATTGACAATGTGAAATAGGAAGAAAATGGCTAAAGATGTAGGGAAAGTGGGAAGGGTAGGGGAAAGGTAATAAGGGAAAAGAAAAAAAATATGAAAAAATGGAAAAATGGAAATGAAGTGTTTATAAATGGGGAGGGGAGGAGGCAACGAAGGGAGGGCAGGGACAAGGGGAAAAAATGAGAACCAAGACCTGTCATGTAAAGATACAAGATCTCAGTAATGAATGTAACTGTACTGTATACCTAAAATGTACCAATAAACTCAATGAAAAAAAAAAGTATATCCTCACTGTGCATCCATTTTCCTATGAATGAAACTAACAAATATTACATACAGCTTTTTCTGTACCACAACTATAAATGCAACACCTATAGATCCTCTACTGCAAGAAAAAATTCTGAGAATAAATTTAGAGTTGACTCTCTAAAGATTAATAAAGCTTTATTGTTGTATTATTGAAGATAAGGAGCTGGAAAGGGGAGAATGAAAGAATGAAAATTAGAAATTTTTATCCAGAG